ATATCGAACCGTGAGACTAAAGTATTGAACCGAATCATGAATTTTCTGTATCGTAAAATATATATATATGTACTTTAAATAAAATTCTCCTTTTTGAATTATATTGGTGCACTTTAAGTATTTCTTTATTTATTTATTAGTCAATTTATATATTTCCGCTTTTATTTTTAATTATATCAGTTTCGGTCCTCCGTACTGCAGAAGCCTGATAATCACCCATTCATTCAAATCAGGTGTGTTTGAGCAGAGAAATAAATAAAACATGCAGGGCTGCGGCCCTCGAGGACCAGGATTGCCCACTCCTGATCCAACCAATTTCATCGCCTTCATTCTCCTCTGGCTCTGGGTCAGACTCAACATGTAAGGCTGGATGGACAAGTCCTCCCTTGTTGACAGCTTTTAATTAAAGGGGAGGTATTGTGCAAAATCGACATGTTTGAGCTTTACATCAGGTTATGTCATTCCCTCATCAAAACCATACCCAGAGTTGTTGCTCTGACTCAATCATGCACGTTTGAGAAATCCTTGATTCTCCTGTAACCATGTTGAGCTGCGTAAACTCTTGCTGGTACAAAGCACCGCCTATTTTCACAAAGCTCCTCCCCTGGAGCTCAGTTACCAGCCAAGCTCTCTGCATAGAGAGTACCCTTCCCCCGAAGCATTATCTTAAAATGTGCTGAAGTGGGAGTGTCTGTAACGGTAGGAGGTTCTCAAAGAGACAGAGGCCAATTTCAAGACATTTAGATGTGATGTGAGGTCACATTTATATTGATACATGCAGCTTTTTCCATAACTGTAGTTAGCATAGTTATTGATTGTGGTATACTGAAGTATGYGCCTRGAAAATACATAATACTTTAATTTGTATATAAAAAGTTAAATCCCTCTCCCAATACACAACAAGGTGGAGGGTGGAGCTTCATTTGGATTTAAAGAAACAGCATCAAAACGAGTTGATCTGAGACACCCCTCAAGAAAGGGGTAAAAGAGGGGATTGTGGAGTTACAATAATTCAAACCAAAACATTGCAGTTCATCTTTATATAGACCCCAACATAAGGATTTAAATGTGAAAAAGAAGAATTTAAAAGCAGGATATGTCTCTATGAAATGAAGCTTCTGACTTTCATGACAAATTTATTTGGAAATGCAGCGTAAAGATAAAAATCCTTCATTATTTGTATCAATACATCAAATGAGAGGTAAAAAAAATACCTAATGATAGTTTTTGAATAATCTTGGTATCATAATGGCTACTTACTATAGCTCGTATACAAGTACCTTTGAGACAAACAACAAAATGAATAAATCAAGCCAAACGTTTTGTTTTTACCTCCCCTCAATTTAAAAATAATTTGGAGGGGTCTTCTTGGCTTACATTACCAAATGATTTAAGGTGAGTAAAATGTTGTTTATGTTGCTAAAGAATTTTGGGATATTAACAGAAAACAGAAGCTTTCCACAATAAGTTTTCCATTTCATTTTGGTAGAACGCAGAACATGCTGTCAACAGAAAATGGTTTCAATGAAAACAGCATGTTCTGATGATTAGTAAACAGAACAATGTGACTGGAGAAAAAAAAACCCACCCGTTTTGTTTTATACAATAAATATCTTTTTTCCCCCTTTTTTTATTGAATTACAGTGCATCAGAATGACATCTGAAATTTCATAAACAGACACAAACCCAAGGCCAAAAAC